ACGTGAGGGGAGGGCGCGGCCCAGGCGCAGCAGGAAAGGAGGAGGAGGAGGAGGGCAGAACACTTCACTTCGACAGCCGAATTGCTGCAGCGAGCGTGGCGGGAGGGGCCGCGTCGCGGTCCCCGACGATCCCACGGCAGCGACCGGTGCACCCCATGGCAGCCGCCCACCTGCCGCCTGGAACTCCGCATCCTCCTCTGGCGGCACCTGGATGCCCAGCAGCACGCCGCTGGCCTGGTTGCCTGCACGCAGGGGGGGAGGGCGAGGCTCAGGCCGCATGCCAGGGCGCCGGCTGGCGCTGCACGCGCCTGGACCGGTCCGACCGGTAAAGCCCGCCCACCTGTGCGGCGGTAGTGGAAGAGGGTGATGTTCCAGCGGGCCGACAGGCCCGACAGGAAGCGCCGAAGCGCTCCCGGCCGCTCCGGAAAGTCCACCTGTGTGTCGAAGGGGAGGAGGGGTGTGTGGGGTGGGGTGGGGTGGGGTGGGACAGCCAGGGGAGGAAGGTCGAAGAGGAGGAGAGTGGGGGTGGGTTACAGCCGGGGAGCGGCGGCCGGGTGGGCCACATGCTAAGCGCCAGGAGAAGCAGCAGCCAGCTGCACGGGTGCTGCAGGCGCTGACCTGGCAGACGCGCTCGTGGAGCAGCTCCCCGTCGGGCCCCCGCGCGCGGCCGCCCACCAAGTGCCGCAGGTGCACCTGCGCGGCAAGGGGGCGGGAAGGCGGCGCGGCTGCGGGTTGGGAGGGGCCGCTGGGCAGGGCGGGGCTCGACTTCCGCGCCCCCTGGTCGCAACCCATCAGCACTCCCCAGCACCGCTACCACCTCCAGCAACAAACACCAGATGCATCCCAGCCAACCATACACGACACCATCACACAAGCACCACACGCACGCACACAAGCGCGCGTGAAAACACACAGTCACTGTACACACACACACACTGTACACAGACACACACTCTACACACACACACCCTGTTCCCACACACACTGTACACACACACACACCCTGTTCCCACACACACTGTACACACACACACGCACACAGCACCACACACTCACCTGCGCCATCTCGATCTCGCTGACGTCGATGGTCGGGTAGCCACGCCCCACCAGCCGCCCCACCAGCGCCAGGCACTCTGGCGAGTCGGGCGCCACGCCCACACTGAACAGCACGTGCGCGTCCTTGTCCTCCTCGTACCTGCGGTACGGGCGGCGATACGGGTTGCGGTACGAACGGTACGGCAGGTGGGCGTGCTGCTCCCCATGCGGCGCATGCACATCCCACCCACGCACGGACGCATGCGCGCAGCAGCAGCACTCTCCCGCTTCCCCGCCACCAAAGCGTGACCCCAGAGCACCCCAGCCATGCGCGCCTCCTCAGGATACCACGCAAGCACACAGGGAATGCAACAGCAGGAATGCAACAGCGGCGCCAGCTCACCGGTACTTGAACTCGGTGATGGGGATGTCAGTGCCGTCGATCGCCGTCTCCACAAAGTCGGCAAAGGAGCCGGGGCGCTCGGGGATGGAGACCGCCAGCATGGCCTCGCGCTTTCCACCCACGTCCGCCAGCTCTGTGCATGCGCCGCGGGGTGGAAAGAAAGCAAGCGGCGGTGGGGAAGCGACCAAACGATAGCAGCGGAGAGGGTGGTGAGCTGAGAAGAGAAGAACGCAGGGCGCGGATGAGGCAGGCGTGTGCATGCGCTCGGCCGAACGCAGCCCGCCACCCGCCCAGCCCAACACGCAGCCGCTCCCCACCACCCCACCCCACCCCCGCGCACACGCCACCAGGCGCACCCGCCACCAGGCGCAG